CAATGACACCCAATACGTTTACGTACCGACACGTATCCCTCGGTCGGATATGGGTACATCGGCCCCTACATGTTCCTCTCCCCTCGGTACCGAGATGTACCCGTCTAGGATGGCATTCTCTACTCCTGTAGAGGCTATTGATGTACAGGTCACTAGTCTAGGCTAAGCTAGGTTAGTCATTATAACCTCGTCTTACACAATTGGTGTCAGAAGGCACAAGAAGACAGAAGACACAACCAATGGGGAATGGGGGCGTGACATATTGTGTCAGATAAGAGACAAAAAGACCGAGATGCCCTTGCTGACACATGACTTGGGAAAGCAAGCATTTAGTGCATCATTCCCTTGATGAGACATCATTTAATGCAGGAAGGCTCGGAAGTGAAAGATAATAAATGTCCCAATGACTGGACATTTATTATATCCTTGCCGAGAGAAGCTCATTAAACATTTGGCAGGTCGATGACGAAGCATTGGTTGCTCGGGGTCCCGAGCAGTTAAGAGAGAAAACATTCCTCATAGGAATCAGTGCGCACATTACCCCGTATCTAATGATCACCTACTGACCACACTGACAGCAATCATGAGTTTTTGAGGTATAAATACTCTTCATAAAAGGCAAGATGAGAGGAAACAAGAAACATTTTTCTCAAAGAAATACAGTGTTTTCTCATTCCCCTCTCTCAAAGAACTGACTTGATCGTCGGAAGGGATACGCCGAAAAACACTTCGGCGCCCTCCTAACTCATTTTTTTTTGTTCCAGGAAGCTCCCTCAACTTTATTGGACCGCTCCATTGATCCACGAAAGTCACCCATTACCGTTCCAGGCCACCACCGGACCCCACAGTCTGTTCCGAGCAGCAAGATTGACCATTCAATTGACTGATTCGAGTTCACCACGGGAGTGACCTGTTCTCGTATTTATATTGTGCAAGATTCTGCACGCACAAAAATGTATAATGATCCAAATGTCTTTTGAATGGGTGAAGAGGTAGACAAGTGTTATTAGTAATATTTTCCCCTATTTTTATCCTTATGCCTTCTTTCTCAATACAGGTCGGTGAATACCAAGGTATATACAAGGTTAGACTTGTTCGGTGTTTATAATTGTACCACATCATTTGTTGCACCGGCAGATCCAGGGGTGTATATATGCCCATCCTAAATTTTTTCGAAATAATATTACCTACATACGTCTAACATGTTTGTTCGATAGATTTTAAGTGTGGCTACTCCTATAATTCTCTTGTTCATCCATTATTTTAGACTCATACCTAAATAACTAAATATTTTTGGATACGCTTCAAACACATTACGAATCTGTCTTATTTGAACATATTATGATCATTTTGAAATTTTTGTTTCATTAATATATAAAATTAGGGTTATTAGGACAATCTCGTTAGTGTATAAAAAGTTGCAGTCACAACTTCACATTACAAAACTTAATGAATGATGTGTTTCAAGCTAAAACTCAGTAAATGACAAATTTCCGTCATAATTGTGTTGAGTCATTTTATGCACTTAATGATATGCAACCTCGAGAGTTTCATTGAGTCAAACATCGAGTATTTCTTTGCAAGACATATCAGAATTAATTTTTTATTTTTGATGAAAAAAAAGTTGATTAATCTTACCCAATTTTATTTAAAAAATTTATTAATTAGAGCTTATGATACCCTTTGATTTGCTTGGTAGTTACAATATTGATGTGAAGTCTAACATTGAATATCCAAATTATTAAAATTTGGTGATCTTGCTCAAAAAGTGATTCAGGCATAAAAAATCCATTAGTTTAATTGGTTGTGATCAATTGTAAATTGGTATAATTACCTTTATATTTTTCGTAAAGGGTTACGATTGATTTCTTTTTTGTTTGCATAAATTATGTATACAAATCTATGAAGCAAGGATACGGATACGGGATATGGGTATTATACGATACAGATACGGTAATACAACAAAATTTAAAAAAGAAGGATATGAGTACGGCCAATATACGACTATAATACAATATATTTATTATTTTTGTTATTTTCAATCAGCATAATACTCATATATTTTGGTAGTTCTTAACACAATAAGAAAAATTTGTAATTTTTTTTAGTTTGAAGAAAATATATATTGCATCATATGGTATATTCACAAAATGAAGTGATTAATTAAATGAATCAAAGCTAACATTTACCGAGTCAGTTTATTTAGAAGTATTTTTACTAAAACTATAATGTAATAGATTTATTTTATACTCTTTTAGCATGTAATTGTAAATAATAGTTAAAAAATATTCATGTGCCGTTGAAGTAGTACGGAGTTTTGTAAATGTATTGTATGATATGTGAATTTGAAAAGAAATGTTAAAAATTCAACTCAAAAATTATATATATTGCTTAAACGTAAAAGTATCCGTAAAATATGTTAATATTTAATTATTATCGGATACGTAGGAGTTGTATCCAATACGTCTCCGAAGAGTGTCGTATCCGATAAAGTATTTAATACGGATACGCCGACTCCAACGAATTATCACGCTTCATAGATACAAACCTTTTGTGTTCAATGAATTTTCAAATATTTAATGTGATGTAAATAAATACAAACATATTATATTATTTTTATGAAGTTGAGCAAAAATCAAATTTATAGTCTAAGTGCCCATTCAGGAACAAATTCCTCCCTCTGCCCCTGATTTGGTGCAAATACATTTATAAAAATATTTAATGTACACAGCTTTTTCCTTAGCAGATAAAAAACTTAAACGTTACTTCAAAATTAATTGTCAAATGTAAAAATTTTATATTAAATCATATAGGTGCAAATAGAGAATTTTAGAAAACTTTGAGGGGGTGTAAACTGTAAAGTACTATCCACCCCGTAAACAAATCCCACGTGTTTGCTTGGTTAGCGAGAGAATGATGAAAAAAGGGAAAAAGAGGAAAAAAAATTTTGACGTTTGTTTAGCAAAAAACCAATGTTTCTCAAGAAATTTTTTTTCTCACAAGGTCAAAATTTTTCGTATTTGATGGTTTTTGATTTCCTACAAAATCTGTGCGATTTTTTTTTTTTTTTCTGTAAAACTTGCTTATCTATTTCACTGTTTACCACTCTGCCCTTATTTTAGCAACCCACAACTCCTCTCAGCACCAACTCGTCTAGGAAGACTGCTTCTTAGTACTTCTCTTCTCAACCGACTACCTCTTCTTCTTAACCAACTTTTTTTTTTGTATCACACTTAGGGGTGCAATTCGGACGGGTTGGACAGTCAACCCTAGTCCAACTTTAAGTATATAATCTTCAACTCTAATCCTAAACCCTAACCTTAACCCTACCTCGGGTTGAGGAACTCAACCCGAGCAGTGCTCGAGTTTAATTCGGGCGGACTCGGATTGAATTCGAGTTAATGATTTTAAATTACTTTACAGGTTCAATTTGAGTTGAGTTCAGGTAGAGCCCAAAATAGGCTTGTTATTCTAAACCTAATACCTATATTACATAATATTCACATAAATTAACAACCAATAACTTCAACCAAATTTTTAACAGTGCTAATGCTAGAACAAAAATAAAAATGAACGAGAGAGACAGAGAACGATAAAATAAAAATGAAAAACTAATGTAAATACTTTATATATATATTTTAATATGTTGGGTTCGGGTTGAACCAGTAAACCGAGGGCTTAATCCGAGTCCAACCAAAATTAAATACGGGTCGGAGTTGTTTAACCCAAACCCAACCAAAATATTAAAAACCCTTCCCAAGCCCTAATTTTTTTTTTGTTGGGCTCGGGTTGAAATCGGGTTGCCCAACTCAAGTTGCACCCCTAATCACACTCAACCAACTGATAAGTAAGTTTTTCTTCCATCTTCAATTGCTCTATGTACTAGAATTGCTACATATTGTAAGTAACGAAATCCATAAATTTGTACCATAAAAAAAACCCAGTAATTTGTATTAGTGTATACACTTAATTTTTTGGATTTTCTATTTGTATTAGTCCTGTGTACTTACTGCATTTCTTCTACGGCAACACCATTTTTGCCCCTCTGCTCTTTGCTTCTCTTTATTGATTGTTGGGTTAAATGTTTTATTTGATTATGATTCAATGGTCATGTTGATGAGGAAGATCAGGTGTTTGATAAAATGTCTCAACTAGCATGTGAAGATCATTTAATACATCATTTGTGAAGGTCAATTATATGGCAAGAACCAGAACTAATAGAACTCATAATTTGTGAAGATCAAATATACGGAGAGGTTAGGTTTTCTCACAAGACGGTCTCGCTTACCACAAAACTTAACCCTAGGCACAGGTCTCCAAGGTTACTATGCTTCATTGATTCAGTAAGTGCCTTTCTATACTCTTTGAGTATTATGGTAAGCATATATGAGCTCTAGCTTTTCCTTAGTTATAGTTAGAGAGATCCAGTAAAACTAGTTTTACTGGAAAATTGGAGTTCTTCTGGTAATTTTTGGATGGTCAAATGTCTCGTATATAAAGGGTTTATTTGATTTGATTCCCATTACAATAACACTTGAGAATCGCTGGAATATCTGCATGATAGCTTTAACAATTGAAAGTTCATGGCCTTTTCATGTTTTTTATGATTATTATTTTTTTAATTTGTTTGTGTAGTTGTTTACTTGAAAACTTACTGAATTCCACATTCATGTCTTTTTATTTGCTTATAATTTTGCAATGAATTGCTAACAATTTAATATTTTTCTGGTCGCAAGTAGTCATTTGAAACCTCAGATTATTTTCTTTGTCCTTGTTTGTTTTGGCCGTCACATATGTAAATTTAGATTGCCTGCATGATTTGCTTATGCTTCAAGGATTTTCCTTTTTTTTTTTATGGCATCACACGTGCAACTACACTTGCATTGTTTTTGTAATTGTTTTTTTGTTCCTAGTCCTTTTTGTTATTTAGTAGCAAAGATAATGTAGGTAGCAATGGGTTATCTCACACTTATAATGTCTTTGTAATGATTTTTTTCTTGATGGTTTTTGGTATGTAGTCAAATGTTCGTTATCTCAGATCTAAATTTCTTGTGGCATATATTAGCTATTCGTCGTTGGCTATTCATTCTCTATAATAAAATGCTTTCGCAGATTTTATAATCATGAGAGGAAATTTTAGGCGTATCCTTGGCCGTGTCAATGCTGCGAGTCATGACCACATCTCCTCACACAAGCAGTCAGCTTATGCTGCTATCACGATTGGAATGCGTAGCAGTTATGTTCTTGCAAAGTATCACATGGAAATAAAACATCTTGAAGATCTTATTGGGCTGGAGATGCAGAGCAAGGAATTGTCTCTGGTTGTTGATGACATTATGAACTCGGTGCGTGAAATATCAAAAAAAATGGAAACAGTGGCAGAACAGACGCATGAAATGCTCAGGAGATTGGAGGATAGAGAAGATTAAGCCAGTTCTAGTTGTATAGGAAGGAATGCCTTGATTTTAGATATGAGTTTCATTTTCACCTTTTACTTTCAAAGATATGATGGGCTTTGATTATGAATGTTCTAAATTAGATGTCTTAAATGGATATTCGGTCATGTTATGGTAAAGCTACCTTTTAAAACTCTGATCAGGAATTTCTAAGAAAAGCAAAGTAAATTGATGCTTGTCATGATTTAATCCATTAAATTACCACTAAAAACAATTGGCTTCTTAATCGGGTTAAATATTCGGTATCAAAGTCTTTGTATTTTCAACAGAAATTACATTGGGGTCACCTCCCAAACGTTTATAACTAGATTAGGTATAAATTTAGACGTTGTGAGATCGAATCTTAGTAATCTTTTAGAGATTGAGTCAGATCATGAGGAATTTATCCCTTGACAAGATTGTGAAGAGAATTAATTGAAGTGTGTGTAGACACCCTGATCATTGAACCAAAAAAAAAAAAGAGTGTGTAGCAGTTGAACTGCACAAGTGCTGCCTAATGCATCATGCAGTGTTCAACTCAGACAAGCTGAAATGCTTTAGTGCTGTGATACCAAAATGGACTATTTGACATAACAATAAAATCTTACCTATCTCACTGAGGCAGAAAGTTGTAAACAGATTTGCAACAGAAAATGCAATAGAATGAAGCACTTGCATAGATGCCAAATTGTTGTGTATTGACAGTAAGACTTAAACAATGTACCCTTCCAACCCTCATAAAAAAAAGCTAAATTCTGTATCGGGAATTTAAAATGACGCAGCTTTTTGAAGGATAGAAGCAAAATTCAATCTAAAAGATGCCCATTGTAGGCCATAAAGAATTACTTGAGATATGATCACCAATAAATGATAAGAAAATCAAAACACAAGCACTTGGAATATATTGTATTGAAAGCTCACATCAAACTTACAAAATCCACTTCTTTAGCATCTCCATCCATCCTATATAGTGTCAATTGTCACGAAATTCATCGATTGCACATTCCTCCAATCTCTAACAGAAAAACCAAAACAAAAGCCTTTAAAATCTGCTGCCTATATCTAGAAATAGAGTGACACAGAGAATTTACACACATCTCATTGTCTATTCCATTCTAACAATGGACTGCTTAAGCAGCATGACTCTTCTTCTTCCTTCTTAGGCGGTCACAAATGAATGCCTTCTCCAATTGCTCAACCCTACGTGTCAATGAGTTCAGCATCCGAGTCTGCATTTCATTTCTCGCATACAGCTGCATCATCAAGCTCATCATTTTCCCATTGTCCTCCACCACCCTCTCCAATAGTTCTCTGTTCCGCTTTTTATCATCTCCCCCTCCAACGTCAGTCTGCTCAGCTCTTTGCATTGCCATCCCATCAGCAACCTTCTCTGAGTTCTTGTTTTCCTCACCCCCTTCACTCAATCTCTGAGGATGCACTGAGTACTCCAAATAGTCCGGTGTCAAATTTGTTTTCACACTTTCTTCCACACATTCACTCTCAAACGGAATTGAGTTGCAATTCTCAACAATCTCCTTCACTACACAATCGTCTTCATTTGCCTTAACCTCCGAATGAATTCCAACTTCAGTAACCTCCATCTTCTCACAACCCTCTGCTGGCTTATCAACACCTCCTTCCTTAGCTTCGGATTTGCTCATTTCAGGCACCGATTCACCCGGATTTCCATCCCCAGCATTTTCCGAACAATTGTCACAAATCGACAAATCAGAAGAATCTTTGAATTCAGGTGCTTTAGCCGCCAATGCTTTATCTCGTGTTTGATCAGCAGCAACATTCTCGGGGGAATCTTTAATTTCCAGGGACTGATCAACAGCTTCATCAAGAGATTCACAGTGATCATCCACCTTTACCTCAACCACTTGATCATTAATTTCCGTACCTAGCGTTTGATCAGAAGCAGCAACAATGCAATCGATTTTCTCCTGCAATGCAATAGCCTTCTTGATCACGGCCCTTCTACAATCCCTAACCCCAGAATCCACTCCGCGAATAGAATCCAACTTAAAAAGCAGAGCCATTAACGCCTCATTCAATCTCAACCACTCTTTCTCATCCCTCCGAATCAACTCAGCGGTTTCGCTCATCGAAATTCTCCGTTCAATCTCATCGACTTCGCTCTTGATAGACACGATTTTCTTCACACTCCTCCGCACCACGAAGCCTCTGAAGACCTTCTGGATCTTCAAGGCGGAGGCCGAGCGGGTCGTCTCTGACCCAACGAAATGGACGGGTATTGAAACGACCTTCGCTGACGCCGTCGTTGTGGGGTTCCGCCGAACCGACTGAACTGGGATTCCCCTGACGGAAGGAGAGTAGTGAGGGCGCGATGGCTGATAATAGTGGCTTCTGAAGAACGGGCTATCCATCATTGGTTTTCGATCAATTGAATCAGAACAGAATTCTCTCCGCTTGAACTATGAAGATAGTAATCGTAAACTTTTGGTTCTTGTGGCTTCTTTTGGATTTGATGATGAAAAAGAAATGGGTTTGGGTGTCGTACTTATACCATCTCCAAGGGAGTTCCAGAAGTTTCAGTTGAGATTTTTTCGGAATCAATCTCGGATTCCAGATCACTGTGGAAACTTCCATTACAATCCGTATATGTGCGCAATTGCGTCATTTTCCTTTTTATTTTCGAATCTATTTTCCTCCTTTTACTTTTTCTTTTTTTTTCAAAAATTTCAAATTTTATAGTAAATTATGGTGCAATTTGGGTTGGACGACCCGATTTCAATTCAAACATAAACTGAAAAAATTAGGGTTTAGACAAAAAATTTTAATACTTGGGTTGAACTTGAGTCAAAAAATCTCAACTCGAATTCAATTTGGATTGTATAAAGTATTAACACTGATTTTTTATTTTTGTTCTTTCGTCCTCTTTGTATTTCTTGTTCATTTTCATTTTTGTTCTAGCATTAAAACTGTTAAAGTTGAAAATTATATATCTAAAATTAGACTAAAGTTGACTGTCAAACCCGTCCCATCCACCCGAGTTGCACCTCCTATAGTAAACAATCATTCTCAATTATCTTTAACACCACCCCAGAAAAAAAAAGGGGGGGGGGGGGGGGGGGCGGGGGGAACATTGTTTACTTAGCTTGTTTATGGGCTATTTTCGTAAAACCATTTCCCATCCTATAATAGAAAATGATCAAGGGTAAAAACAAATTTTATATATGAAGGTGTATTTTCACCGTACCATTAAGTTGAAATTTTTTTGATTTCTTATTTTATCTGTAATTATTATTATAAAGTCAATGTTATCCACACATTATTTTCATCCAATTTTTTATTTTTTATACTTATTTGAATTTTAAATTTTTTTTGACTCTTTTATTAATAGTACACTTATATACAATTTTTTATATCTATATTTATATTTATATGAAGAAATCAAATTCAATCTATATTCTACTAGTGATCAATCTCATGCGATGTACGAGATTATAATTTGTATCTCTTTTTTTATTATTTAATGTATCATTTTTTTTAATTTTATCAATTAAGAAGTTGGATAAAATCATTATAAAAAATGTTAGGTGATAAAAAATAATCTTTTGAGTAAATTTAAAAAAACAGGGGTAGTTTATTGAGGAAGTTGAGACGTGGTTACAAATGACACGTAGTAGCATTTGATTGGAGAGAGTCTTAGGTTTTGAATTTAAAAATTCTAAATTTTAAAAAATTAGGTTATATATACATATACTAATTTGTACTCGTGTCTGAAGCCACTATATAACACATAAAAAAATTGCAAGTAATTGCCCACTTGAAAAAGAAAATGGCCTAAAAATATTTATACCAATTCTTTTTAAATGACCTGAAATATATTGTCGGTCATATCCTCCATATTAATAGAACTATCACAAAAATTATTAAAAACTTTCCAAAATAACATTACATATACAAATACCTCAGAAAAAATAAATAAATACTAATGGCACCTAATAAAATTTACAATTTTTAAGTAATAAATAAAATATTTCTCATTTATACGACATATAAATTTATCACCATTATTACCATCCAACCTAATAACATAACATAATTATAAACTCAATCACTTGTTATTTTTTTTGTTAGTAATTAACTTGACTTTGATTTTTTTTTTTTGTTTTTTTGGTTCAATTCGTATCACTTGTTATTTTTTATTAATGATTAACTTGACTTTGAATTTAGTTTGTTTTTTTGGTGCAATTGGTTTCATTTTTTTTTAATTGGTGATTACTTTGACTTTGAATTTTTTTTTTTTTTTTCTGGTTTCACTTGTTTTTTTATTGGTGATTAACTTGCCTTTGAATGTCTACAACCTTAAAAAAAAATTAGCATTCAAATATTTTCTCATTCTATAAAATTATACAAATATTTGGCTTTGTTATATTTTTTTGTTGGTGATTAACTTGGGTTTGAATGTCTACAAGTTGGAAATTTTTTTAAGTTGGTTTTAAATATTATTTTTTGGTGCAATTGGTTTCACTTATTTTTTTATTAGTCATTGTTATTTTTTTTATTGGTAATTAGTTTGGTTTTGAATTTTTTTTTTTTTTTGCAATTGGTATCATTTGTTATTTTTTTATTGGTGATTAGCCTAACTTTGAATTTATTTTTTTTTAACATTTAAATATTTTATCGTCTATAAAATCATATAAATGTATAAGTAAAGAAGTAGCGAAAATAACAATAGCGCAATTAACACATAATATTGAACAATAATAAAATCATGTCGAAGCTGCAAATTTTGAGTAAAGAAACACTAAAAATAATAATACATATTTAGCACATAACATTCACTCACAAAAGTAAAAGAATGAGATAGAGAGAGAGTGTATTTAAAACATCTAATATATATATATATATATACAGTGTGTATTTAAAAGAAATATGAGATAGAGATAGAGATTTATATGAGAGATAGGAGTCTTGGAGTTATAAAAATAATGAAAATTCAATTAGGATCGTTAGATCAATAA